TTCTGGCCACTTTAAACAACGGGTAAACTGTGGCAGAATAATTCCTCGACATTAAGCCATGTGCATGTTTTCAATAATGAGTAATATTCCCATTTGTCCACATGATTTAAAAGCTGATGAGGAATTATTCCATTATGAGAGTAAATGTGGTCAGCGTGACCTAACTTAACTTCTGTCAGACAGGACAGAATGAGAAATGATGGGATAATATTTAGCTTTCTCCACAGTGTATTTAAAAAAGTAAATTTACACTGGTGCCTCATATGAACCTACACTTATTTTGTCAAGCATTTTCCATGTCTACATGTCAAAACTGCAAATGAACAGAATACCCTTATTATCTTCAATTACCAAAAACCTCTATAAAAACCTCATGTTTGCACTTCTGCACATGCTTTTAAATAGCTTGTAGCTTGCACTTTTTACATTTAGAATATAGTAACCTTTTTAAACATAATTAATCACATTTTTGGAGAACAACAAAAGGACTTTTGTGAAAAATTAGAAGTAGTTTTTGATGTTTGTCAGTGTTTCTAAGGGAGAACAATTTTCAAAAGCCAAACAACACAAAAGCTTAAGAGTTAGGTACTCACCATCATCTGTGATAACTCTTATACACTGAATGAAAAAAACCAAAACATTGCATAATGTTATGGCCCGTCTAGGGGTGGCCAGACCATAACGTAAGGGTGATCCATCCCCGTATGACCCCAAGCAGCACATCACACAACGAGTACAATTTTGATGGTGATTTATTTAGAGTGAGTGAATTTTAACAAAGCAAAAGGAACGGACTATAGCTTTGGGGTGGACCTAACGCCAAAACAACAAACAAAAGGGAGCCTATCTAAAGGATGTACCAAACTTATCTATGAAAAGAATCAAACCAAATGACAATGACTTATCTCCCCAACTAACAAAAACATGAGAAAAAGGTCATCAAATAAAAAGGCAGTCCACCCCTACATGCTCCTGTATAAAGAAACAGCGGTCGGTTAAGGTGAGCTGAGGATGAATGACTGGCAGTCCATGGCGGTGTCATCATATACGTTGTCTCCAGGTAGTTAGCCAATCCGTACATGTTTTCTTGTCCGCCCCCTGTATGCACCAATCACGGAGAGGCACCTGCACACTCAAAT